TTCCATTATGTACATATTAACAAATAGAAAAAGGGCTTTAAAATGCGGGCTGGTAACAGGAAAGTACCAAAATTCTTTTTACATATTTTCACAAAACTTTCATGACATGTCCTAAAAAATTTTATTAAATTAATTTCTCTTTCTTTTCAAAGTGAAATATTGAAAAAATTAGTGCTACAAAGTATTTATAAGGCAATTCGAATTTTTAAAATAATTTTTGGGTTAGGAAAATAATTCTCTATGTATGATCTATGGTTATCTATGCCTAGATCGCCTATCAAAATGTTATTGGACAATAGAGCTGCTTCCAAAATTTCCTGTGGACAAGCTAAAAATAGGTCCAAATTGTAATGTTTTTATTGAATTAGAAAAATAATTAATAAATCCTATTGTCTACTTCCTATTGTTTTTTCTTTGCATTTGATTGTCAAAGCATATTTTGACTAACAGGGAAGGACGATTAATGTTTAAACTCAAATAAGGAGGGGGGGGGTGGACGGTTATAAAGTCCGTTTCAAAATTATAAGACCACCCATTTTTTCGTGTTACTTATACTTCCTGAGTACCAAATTGGCCCTAATTTTTTCTACTAGTAAATATTCTATAAATATTAGGATCATGAAAGTTTCAAAGAGTTTCATTAAACTTAACAATTTTTATGAGTCTTTTTTCAAAAACGGGGTGTTTCATAATTATAAGACCAAGATTTCAATCAATATTTTCTGTGCCATAAGTGATCCAAAAATTCCACAAAAATTAATATAAACATTTCTATCAATATCGAGTTGAAAAGCAAAAAGAACGAAGTTTGTAAACGCTCTCTTCATTGAGATCTCAAAACCCCAAAATCAACGGAAAACCGGGTTACAGTACTTCAAAAAATATTTTAGCCCCCTTAGGCAGTGTATAAAAATTTTCTTTTGGGCTCATTAGAAAGCCCACAAAATTTGCTACAAAAAACACTTGCTCCCATCCTTGAGAAAAATTCTCCCATTGAGGACTCATCGGTTAAATTTAAAATATAGAAATAATGACAATTTATGGGGTAATTTGAGAGAATTTATTTGTCTGCTCATTTAACAGGTAGCTCCTCAATGGGAGAATTTTTCTCAAGGATGGGAGCAAGTGTTTTTTGTAGCAAATTTTGTGGGCTTTCTGTTGGGCCTAAAAGAAAATTTTTATATAAGCTCCAAGGGGGCTAAAATATTTTTTGAAGTACTGTAACCCGGTTTTCCGTTGATTTTGGGGTTTTGAGATCTCAATGAAGAGAGCGTTTACAAACTTCGTTCTTTTTGCTTTTCAACTCGATATTGATAGATCACTTATGGCACAGAAAATATTGATTGAAATCTTGGTCTTATAATTATGAAACACCCCGTTTTTGAAAAAAGACTCATAAAAATTGTTAAGTTTAATGAAACTCTTTGAAACGATCACGATCCTAATATTTATAAAATATTTACTAATAGAAAAAATTAGGGCCAATTTGGTACTCAAAAAGTATGGGTAACACGAAAAAAATGGGTGGTCTTATAATTTTGAAACGGACTTTATATGATTAAGTACCTTCGTTTCGTTGTTAATCTTCTTTTACTTTTTCCTCAATTACTTCAACAATTAAATTAGTAGGATGTTTTTCCTCCCATTTTTTGATCAAATCATCGTGAATTTTATTAAATGTTTTGGTAAATCTAATGTTTAATAAATAAAATTATAAAATTAATTTTTGTTGTAACCAGACAACAATAACAAGGGAAAAACAGAAGGGTTATTTCAAATAGAACGTAATAGAAAACAAGAACTAGGATACATTTTGAAGGGCTCTTTAAGGAGAATTAGTAGTGAAGAGTATCAGACATAACAGGGTATAACAGAACTAAAATTTAATTAACATTATACATACTTTCCTCTGAGAATTTTTTCAATGCCATATTCAAATGTTTTGTGATATATTTTATTTTCTTGATAAACAGTAGCATAAATGGCATAAAGTAGCTCCGTTGAAAATGGGAGATTATCAATACAGTCGTGGAAAAAAGTATGGAAGCGCTTTAAAATTTCTTTTTATTTTTTAATTTTTTATTCAAAAAATACGTTCTATATACCAATCGAAAGCTCTATTCGTATCTCAGTTGACATGTTTCTGCATTTTTTATGAAAATGAAAATTGGCCGAGATAATCCGGATCTACCGGATATACCAAATCCCATTTTTTCGGAAAAATTTTTCGGAACAAATTTAACAAACCCAAATGATAAAGCATATTTTTCTGAGCATTTTCCACAAAACCGCTTAGAAATATCTTTTTCCGGAGCAGAGATATGATTTTTTAAAAATTGCATTTTTCGTCTATTTTTGCAAAAAATTCAATTTTTAAGCGAAAAATGCCATTTTCAAAAAATCATATCTCTGCTCCGGAAAAAGATATTTCTAAGCGGTTTTGTGAAAATACTCAGAAAAATATGCTTTATCATTTGGGTTTGTTAAATTTGTTCCGAAAAATTTTTCCGAAAAAATGGGATTTGGTATATCCGGTAGATCCGGATTATCTCGGCCAATTTTCATTTTCATAAAAAATGCAGAAACATGTCAACTGAGATACGAATAGAGCTTTCGATTGGTATATAGAACGTATTTTTTGAATAAAAAATTAAAAAATAAAAAGAAATTTTAAAGCGCTTCCATACTTTTTTCCACGACTGTATATTTTTTATCATTGGCATTCATCATATTCTCGATAAATGATAATTTGCCTGAAAATTTATAACCTCTTTCTGCACCTCCAATATAATAATATTTCCCAGTTTCTCCAATTTTCTCTTTTTCAACTTGAAAATAATTTAATTTTAATCCCTCAGCAACATAATTTTGATCATCTCTATAAGGCAAACAAAATATTTCAACATTAAATGCAATTGCCTCTATTACTTGATTTCTATTGCAGTTTATGATTAACAATCTTGTTGTTCCTTTTACTGAAATATTTTTGTGAAATTAAATTTTGAAAAAAATTTCTTTATTTAACAATGACTGAGTTTGTGTACCAATCTCTGTTATGACCTGGAACTTTTGATTAAACTGATAGACACTTCCACTAAGGTTCATCTCGCAAAGAGAAATGGCTCCCATACAAAATCTCTATTCCTTAAAATCGCTATTCCTTAAAATCTCTACTAGGGTAAAAATGCTTAAAATCTCTATTCCTTAAAATAACTATTCCTTAAAATCTCTACTGGGGTAAAAATAATTAAAATCTCTACACCGTGCAAATGGACGGTAGAGTCTCAACAAAAGTGTAAAATATGAACTATTCATTGGAAAACCCAGACTTGGTAATGGATACGGATACAATTGATTTAAAAATGGCTGCGGATATCTGCTTGTATCTGCTGTAAATATCGAAGATATAATACACGACTGCTTCGCTGCGGTCGTGTTCATTTTGCTTGCGGTGATCGTATCAAAGCGGCTGCTGTTGTTCCGCTGGACATGCCTGGGTTCATCCGCAGCGGCAAAAACAATATAAGCAAAATATATCAAAAGATAAGCCAGAAATTAGAACAACGTTTCCGCACTGAACGTTGGCACTCAAAAGGCTTCCGAATGAAAAAATAGACATTTTATCCTATTTTTGGCCGTGTAGAGATTTTAAGGCATTTTACCCTTGTAGAGATTATGAGGAATAGAGATTTTAAGGAATAGTTATTTTAATCATTTTTAGCCGAGTAGAGATTTTAATGCATTTTAGCTGTGTAGAGATTATAAGGCATTTTAGCCCAGTAGAGATTTTAAGGAATAGAGATTTTGAGGGGATACGAGAGAAATTCAAGAGAAGCTTCGGTTAATTAGCTTGCACCAGGGTTCTCATTCGTACTGGTGACACGACTCGGGCACAGTGATCATTTGCACAGTAAGACTTTTGCACAGAAGGCATTTGCACAGTGGACGATTGCACAGTAATTTGTGGTCAAGTGGATTCGTGTTAGGTTTTACTTATTGTTATAAGGGAATAAATGTTACTAATTATTAATACCTTTACTAAAAAAATCTTAAATTGTATTAGAATTCATAAGAAAAATCTGTAACCCATATAAAGGATCAAATGAATAAAAAATCTAACTGAACATAATTATTGCCCCGAGTCTTAACAAAATTTTTTAAACAAGAAAAAACTTTTTGGGTATGTACCCCTTTTAAAAAATCTGTTAGCTTTATTGACTGTATTTAAATTTAGAAGAAACCATTTTATTATTAAGAAACTTATTAGAAAGTAAATTATTTATCATTAAAAATTAGTAAAAATTCATTTTTACAACAAATATTTGCACTCTTTAATAAAGATCTGCTAGAATTTCTCCACTTGATAAGCGAACAAAAATTTAGAATATGTAAAAAAGAATTAGGAAATACTTAGGTTAGAAAAAGAATTATGAATTCTGATACAATTTAAGATTTTTTTAGTAAAGGTATTAATAATTAGTAACATTTATTCCCTTATAACAATAAGTAAACCCTAACACGAATCCACTTAACCACAAATTACTGTGCAATCGTCCACTGTGCAGATGCCCTCTGTGCAAAAGTCTTACTGTGCAAATGGATTACTGTGCCCGAGTCTGAGCGCCTTCGTACTTATTTTGGAAGTACAGTACTTATAAATCGACCCTCGTACTTATGAAATTCAAATGTACTTATTTATAAGTATGAACTATTAAATGGACATTTTGCTAAACAAATTGAATTAAACCTTAAAATTCCCGAAATTTTCGCCTGCGGCGCTGAAAAAGACATTTAGACTTTAATTAAACATTTTTCCGATGAGAACCCTGGCTTGATCCAATACACAAAAATTTGGATGACAGAGATTTTCGAAAGAAATCACATTTGTTCTTATCCCTACGACAAACAATTTATTCTCTCATTTTAATTTCTTCAAAATAATTTAAATTCAAAACAATACCCAATTCTTTTGTTAAATTCGGGATTTTCAGAATATTAAATCTTTCATGAAATATTCGATCCTTCAATTCCTCAATTTTTTGTTCATTATTTTCAATTATTTCTTTAATTTTTTCAATTTTATCTTGAATTTTTTCAATTTCAACTTTTTTATTTTTAATCTCCTTTTCCAATTTTTTTGTATATTTTTCAATTTCTTCATTAATTTTTTTAATTTTAGCTTCAACACTTTGTCTACTTTCTTCCTTTCCTATTTTATTTTCATAACCCTTCAATTCATTTTTATATTCTTCAAGGTTTTCTATTTCTCCTCCACATTTTTCTAATTTTACGAATAATTTGTGATAATTTTCTATAAGTTGATAAATTTCCTCTCGCTCCTCAGCCTTTTTTTGATCATTCTTTTTTATTATATTATCCGTTTTTTCTTGCATTTCTTCATCAATTTGTTTCATCTTTTCTATTAAATTTATCTTTTTTTCATAATCTGGTTTAATATTATTATATTTAATTAAATTATCACGTTTTATGTAATAATTATTTAATTGTTCTGTTAATTCATTCTCATTAATTTTATTTTTAATCTCTTCTATTTCTTCATTTTCTTTTTCAATTTTATTTTTTAAATTCTTAATTTCTTCTTTATTTTTATTTTTTTCATTCAAAATTCTTTCAATTTTTATTTTTATATTTTCCTCACCTTTTTTAATTTTTTCAATTTCTTTCAAATTAACCTCGTTTTTACCATCAATCTCCATATTTTCATTAATTTTACAATCATATATAAAATTAAATTCCCCAATTTTTAACGTTTTTTCATAAATTTCATTAAAAACATTAATTGCTTTTCTGCCTTCTCCGTAAAAAATTTTTTCACAATTCTCTATACTTATTATATTAGGGTGTAACATAAATAATTAGCCCCCCTTAAACCATGTACATTGTAAACTTTATTTCTCAATGTTCAGAGCTCCAATCTATTTAATTTTTTCGTCATATATTCATAATGATTCCTTCTTCATTTTCTGAAAGATTTGAAATTTTTTCTCAACATACAAATTTTTTATGAATTTTTAAAGATCTAGGCAAAATTAAGAAATTAGTGTTCACCTCAAAGATGAGATTGAACTTGGATATTCGGAAAAGGAATCATAGCGCAAAATATGCTAATTGAAGTAAGGAGATGTTATCTTTTATTCCACGTAAAAAAGTTTGTTCTCCAAATAAAAGAAAGGTAGAGAGGAGCTGAAAGACAAATAACGTCTTGGATGCCAACCAACGATAGATAAGAATGCCGTTCTCCCCTGAATCAAAGCCAATCCAAAAAATAAAATGTGTTATTGGGGCAGGCACTCACCTGCTCACTTACAAAAATTTTCATAATTTTACTTGAAGCGGGAAACAAGTTATGAAGGGTCGATTGATACCCCATGAATTGCCGCAAAATCAAAAAAATCACTAATCACTTTTGCAAAACAATCCCTTAAATGCCACAATGAAGCTCCTTATTTGAAACAAATTTTGGCCTATATGGTAGAGCGGGTTGTCTTCATGAATTCTGTAAATAAAAAGGAACGGCTCATCCCAGCTAACCATCAGTTTCGACCTCTAAAACAGACTAGTCCAACAGCGTGATCTGTTATGTATTTGGTGGTGTCGCGGCGGGGTAATCATTGGAATTTAGTTTAGACTGGCTAAACTATTACCCCCAAATTGTATTATTCCCATATAGATCGAGTCCATCAAAAAATCCGGTCGCCTGGCCTCACTAGGCATTTCCGCGCGTGGGTTATCCTAAAACAGCATAATGCTAGCCCCTATTTCACAAATGCGACCCTCTAAAAAATCAGCCAGTAGTTTTCCAGGGGAATTTCTTATATCATCGTATTCAACAGATTCTGCTGTATCAGAATCTATTTAAATTTTCATTCTTACTCATCAATTTTGCAGAAAAAAATCAAAAAGAAATTGTCTTGTTTCAAAAATACAAGTTTTTGTATTTTACCTCTAACTCGTGCCAACCTACTTCTAGGATTCTGATTTTTTGCCAGAAAATAGGCAACTCTCTTAGCATTATAAAAAAATATAATTCGAAGTCTGGAAACATTTAGTTGAATTTTAATAATTATTTAAACCACTTAATACATGGGGGGCTAATTATTTATGTTACACCCTAATAATTTTGGTACGTTTATTCTTGTCACATTTCTGTTGCTTAAGTAATTAAAAGGTACTATGCGTTTATATCCCCACAATTTTGCAAATGTTTGTCCGCACTTTTTTCATTCTCTCATCTCAAAAAAGATTAGAAACGGTCAAGTTAACCCCCATTTTTTCTTCGCCTTCGTTCTCCTCTCACAAAGATTAAAATGTTCAAGTAAAAATAAAGGAAGACTCGCTTATAGAAAAATATAAAGGTAAAAATAAGAGAATGTTTAGAAATTATTTCGGTAATAGTTTGTTTGGTACCCCCCCCCCCATTTTTCTGATTGAAGGCGAAGAAAAAATGGGAGTTAACTTGACCGTTTCTAATTCTTTTTGAGGAGAAAGAATAAAAAAAGTGCGGACAAACATTTGCAGAATTGCGGGGATATAAATAGAAAATTAAAATTACTATATTTTTTTCCTAGTTCTAGGAATTAGACCGTATAAGATACTTATAACTCAACTACAGTCCAATCAAAATTTAAAAGTTTGTTTAAAATATAAAAAATTATTATAATATTTTTCAATTAACCAATAATCTATACTTAAACAGATTTTAGCTGTCAGGATTTCCATTAGTTCCTAATGGGCAACTGAGCTAATCGGAAAAATAATTTGTGGATCTAGCAGATTATATAGTAAAACTGACTCCAGACATCTCCTTGATACTGTAAGGAAGGGAAAGATCCAGCTGGCTAGCATTTAAAACGCTCACTAGGCGAGGGTTTAAGATCTAATAAAAGAGAAGATTAAAGCAGCGTCCCGGTAGCTCAGTTGGTAGAGCACCTGTGCGGTGTGAGCAAAAGTGCCTAGCAATAACTGCCGTGAGGTCGTAGGATCGAAGCCTGCCTTAAAATTTCACCTCGCTCTTACTATACATATTAATTGATATTGGTGACACAAAGTTTTTTAGCCTGTTTGATTTTCTCCCAGTCTATAAAATAGTTCAAACTTATATATCTATGATTAATCAAAAATGGATATCAAGCCACAATATCCTAAATTTGTCTAAAAGTACACAATTCAATTTTTAACAATTTTTATTTTAAAATTTCTACCTTTTTAATAAGTTCGTTATCCAAATGAAATCCCCCAACATAATATAAATTATCTGGCTTGCTATCACCTAACGGAAAATCCATCATTTCATCACTATTGATAAATATTGCCTTTATATTTTTATAAAGCTGGCTAATTGTTAATGTTTCATTTTCCCTCTCATAAAGTTTCTCAAAAAATATAAAAAACATTGTTAAAATATAATCTTCATTATTTTCTTCATCAAACTTCATTAACATTTCCGAAAATTTATAAAGTTTAAAATATAATATTTCATTCTCTAATTTATCTTCAATTTGATTTTTCAATTGTTTTTCCAAAAATTTTGGATATTTTCTCAAAATATAATCGACATCTGTTATTTTATTGTTTTTTATTTCAATTTCCAAATTTTCCAAAAATTTTGCCCATTTATGATCCTCAAGCTTTTTTAATTTATTTTTTAATTCTGATGCATGTTTAGAATCATAGCGGAATCCACATTGGATAATTAAATGAGCAAAAATATCATTTAAGTTTCCTTTTATTTTTGATAATTTTTCCAAAAGTCCTATCACATTTGACCAAATATTTTCTTTAATTATTCCCTTTTTATCTTTAAATTGTTCCAATCGCTGGTTTAAAATATTTTTATATTCAAATAAAATGTTTTGTTCATTTACTTTTTTGTCATTGAAATCTTCAGGAATATCATTGAATATTTCATTATTTTGTAATTTTTCAAGAAAATTGAAGTATTTAATTTCCCATTTTTTATACAATTTGTTCTAAAATTAGTAAATAAGTATTTAAATTTTATTTATGAAAAGTGTGCCAGATGAAATACGAAGGTACTTTTTGGTAGCAACATACATGGAGACGAAAACGGGAAGTGTTAATTTCCCGATTATCATGGGCTAATAATGGTTAAACTTGAAATTTTAGATTGAAATATATTGTTCAAATTTTTTTAAATTTTATAAAAGGGAGAGAATAAAATTTTTTTAGAGGAAGTAAGATAATTTAGATAAATTTTCAAAAAGAAATTTTTTTGAAAAATTCTAAAAATTTTCTCTTGCGGCGCAAATAAAACAGAAATTTGGATTCTTGGCCTTATAAATTTTTTTCAAAAATTTTGTCTACTACATTGAACTTCAAATATATAAAACTCAAATTTTTTGGTTTTGTTAACTGAGGATTATTCTGAATCGGTAATCCTACATTAGCCACAGTAAATATTCAGATGCTCTTTTTATCTCTGATTCTAATTTACTCAATAAAATTAAAACTAATGGATAATGCCAAGAATATGTCAAGAATTATTTTAAGTTTTTAAACCCAATTTTTGACCGATTTTGCAATATTTTTACACCTTTTTGAATGTTTTCGAAGCTGTAGTGTTTTGGAAACGGCCACCCATCAAATCCCTAATAAAAATAAATTTATTACCATTTTTGTGTGAATTCTTTTGAATTCTTCTTTTAAACGATTATAACTTAATCCGATTTGATATTTATTATATCCTACATATGCGTCTTCAAAACAATAAACCCTCCAATAATCCATGTCTGTTGAGTAAAATTCTTAAAATTGATTTGAAATTATAAAAAATATTCTCAAGCTTTGTTATATGCTTATAATATTATCGGTAAAAATTTCAAATTTGAATCAATTCCCCACGTCACTTTCATTTACTCGCAGGGTTAGTCGGGAATGACGAAGGGTCCTGGAATCGGGCTTGTCGAAAAGGGCTCAAAAGTTGCAATCGGGGAAGACAAAAATATCGAGGAAGACAAATTTGAATGTATTAAAATAGATTTCATGGCATTTGGCTGATTTTTTTATTATATGTGGATTCTGAGGGATATCGAGAGATCAAAATCAAGAGGATTGGGGGAGATATTGTGGGATTAAGAAGGACTTAGGTGACAACACCATATACATATAGTCGTCAATCACCGTATATCTCCGATATACTTCAAACCAACCAATATACCAAAATTTTCCAAAAACTTTATGATTAATAAGATATATGGGGATTAAGGAGTTCTAATTGAATTTGCAATAAATGGGGTTCTGCATTGATCGGTGATCAGACTGTCGGTTTAAGGAGCGATAAAGGAATTTGAGAGAATAAATAAGTAATGAGGGATATTATGGATATCAACGATTGTTTTTTTGGCTCCATCTCAACATCTAATTAGCGCCCAGACGGTAATTTTAAAAATTCAGGAAAAATCTTCAGTCGGAAATATATTTCAAAAATTATCGGAAATCCGGAATTTTCCATAAAGCGGAAATCAGAAGGAAAAAAGTTGGAATTCCAACCGCGTACTGTTCCACACGGCTTCTTCTATTCTAAAAACAGCGAAAATGGATACAGTTCAAACCCGAATACTAATTATATTTAAATAACAAAATTATTGTTGCAAAAAGACACAAAAGGTCATTAGTATTTCAATAAACTGTAAAACCTGGTATTTTATTTGTAATTAATTTCCCAACATATTCAAATTGATAAGTCAAAA